AGTATCCAAAACAACGTCCAATACCCAGCTTAGGGATTCTTCATTTCGAAGATTACGCTTGACCGGTCCGGTTGCTTCAGGATCAATCTGTAGTGCTTTCTTCTTCGCATCAGGATTAAGCTTTTGCTTTTTCTTCTGATCACTAGCACCACGCCTGGTCATAATTTCTTTTATTTTAGGCAAAATGAAATCTGAGTTAGAAGAGGAAGAATTAGTAGAGGCAGATGAGTCAGAAGATGAAGAAACAACAAATGCAGACTTAAAATTGTCAAAATTCCTTTTCTTATATGGGTACCCTGCTGGGTATATCACATTTAAAGGCAAGGGACTTGGACTCCTTTGATCAGGATGATCTAGCGTGATGGAAGGAGAAGTATCGCACGATGAATTTGAAAGGGAAGATTCAGAGTTTAGGGTATCAATAGACTTTTGGCTACAACCAGAATTTGAGGCAGAATCACTCGAAATAAAAATGGGACTAGTCATTTTGAAGGGAACTTTTGAAAAAAGGGATGAACTTTGTTGAGACAGAGTTTTGGTTATCCCGCGAATAGGTTTACGTGAAGTCAAACCTATTTCAAACCGTCGAACAGGCGATGCACGATTATCATTCAGAATCGTTTTCTTCCAGGGAGCAGCACGCTTGTTAACAAGCCATGATTCCCCGGTCCCTAAAGACCTCGACCTAGGTAAAGACTTGGGAGGAGGACTGGAGGAGCCAGATCGTTCGGCTATTCTGATAAAGTTCACAAATTTGCGATTATCAGACATACCCAAATGCTCAAAAACTCAGAAGAAAGTGAACAAACAAAGCAGAACACAAAGGAGTAAACAATGGGAGAAGAAACATACCTCAAATATATACTTCAGATGAATGGAAGGAGGATAGGACATGTCAACACCAGAAATCACAAGCAGGGGAAGCCAAGGTCTCTCACGATCACGATGAGTGCTCTTCGTGCTTTCCCTCCAAACTCAGCAGCTCAGTTCAAATATGAAAACTTTACCAAACGGATACCCAAAAGGTTAAAACGTGTTGTGTAAAACGGATAATAGAGGGAAACATTGGGAAGAAGGTAAACCATTTTAACTTTAAAAACAGCCCACGATTGCCATTAAACACCCACGTAATTGCGGTGGCATTAAATGCTACTGACAGTTCACATCTAATCAACCGTTTTTAAGTGGCTAAGTCGTGATGACTCTTCGACATGGTTATCGTGGCATCAAAATAATCGCGCAAAAAAGGTATATCGTGCACAAATGCATATAAATCTCACAGCTTTTCCACATACCAAAACTGCGAGCTAGGGGGCAACTGATCCGAATAAAATATTATAGGCCCATCAAAGGCCCATGTACATAAGGCCCAAAATCTCTAAAATCCAGTATAAAGTGCGATGACTCACATCGCGGATAAGCATGGTGTAACACCCCGTGTATACCCGGTTTGTTAACATGTCATCGTATTAAGCCACGCTTAATTAAAATTTCGGAATATCTTTTTCTTTTCAATCATGACATCATTAATCTTATCCAAGTTGATTACTTAATCAATTTTCATAAAACATCGCCTGTATGTAAATTGCAAAGACAACTAACTGGAATACCTCAATATATAAATAAAGTGAGTATCTAAGTCACGGATCTACAACACGTAGTCCGGACAATATCCTGATGTTTTATTACAACTAGAATCCGAACAAAGACATAACCAAGTCAAGTGGCATGGACAATCCCCATGCTCACCAAATAAACAACGTAGGCAACAAGGTCTCAACAAGGAAATCCATAAATGAAGCTACAATCATAAAGCAGTACACAGGATCCAGCATCCAAGTATAACAGCAAAACAGCATAAGCAGCATAAGCAGATATCATCAATCAACTAAGCTCTGGCCTCCTGCCACTAGAGGTCTCAACCCCCGCATTACCTGAACCTGAAATGGTGCCCCAAACGTGGGGTGAGATCTCTAAAAAGAAATCTCTGTAAGACAAGGGGTCCTCAAGGATCTTCCACCCCAAGCTCACTTACATGTGCAATATAAGTTCAAAAGCCATTTAATAGTATAAGTTCCAAAACAGTGCAATGCGGCAGATAATCATGTCATGTGTGTTTATACTATTCTACTGATCAGAGAAGAGAAGTGCAGGAATACGTCTATTACCCACACAGTATCAGCCCATGCTGTATTCGCCCACAGGATCGCCCCATGACCTCCTGTGTAGGCGTCACACTACATACATATCATAAAACATTTGCACTTAACAGCTCCATAGCATTTCATAAAACAGTACATGAAAACACATCATGCATATAAACCATCCCCCCATGGGACATGATGGAACATACAATGGCTAAACCGAGGACACGAAAGCTTACCTTGTAAGCTAGCTATCCAAACCTAAAGTCCACACAAGCTCAAAACCCAAAACACAGCAGATTCACAATCTGTTTCGGATCAACAATATATCAATATCCATACTCTACAAGCATACAACATAAAGACAACGCATTTCCTTTACGTTTTACGTCTTTAGGCTTCTCACAAAGCCACAAGCCCTTAATCACAAAGATTCTGACTTAGTTTAATTATACAGAAGTTCAACTTCCTCAAACTAGGGTCCACAAACCCCCAATAACCTTCTGTATGAACAGTGCAGCTACTGTTCTTCGAAAACCTAGAATGTACGGATATATGTCGGGAACATATCCGGATATCCATATCCGGATATCACACGACTCCATATCCGGATACCAATATCCGGATATTTCGCGACAGAATCCAGTTCTGCATTTTCGTGAAGATATCACTCAAAGGTTCATCTTTTAACCCATTAAAACGTTAAAGCATGCATTTTTAACCTCTTTTAAGTTCTCTAACATGTTGGTTACTTGTTTAACTTATTAAACATGGAAAGACTCCACTTTTACCCATTAAAACTCATGATCAAGATGAGGTACTTACCCAAGGCTTCAAAACAGAATCAAAGGCTGCTCTTGGAGCTCACTCTAAGCTCCAAATATATTGACTTGCAAGGAGAACGAAAATGCCACACCAAAGGTTGGTTCTTGCACCAAAAGATGACTCCTTGGCACCACAAATGCCAAGCCAAAGGTCCACACCCTCTCTAAACTCAAAGTCAGCACCCCTACTCCTACACAACTAACCATCTAACTCAGAACAAGGCCACCAACACACTCCCAAAGCCACTCTCACTCACCACAAGTGTTTAGGAGAAGTTTTCATGAAGGAATTTGCCTCAAAGCTCAAGAAATGGAGAAAAGAAGGAAATGAAACAATGAGGGAATGTTGGTCAGCCACCAAAGTCACGTAGGAGCTGATACATGCCTAGGGTTTTGTGTTAAAATGCATATATATAGCCACTTAGGAATTAAACCCACAGTATTATCATTAATTGCTACGCTTAGCATTTTAATCCCAAACTTTGGAATCTGATCCTACTCATTTTTCTAAGATTTATCATATTTTTATATTATTTTTCGCAGCACCTTTCCGGTACGCGCTTTTCCATAGCCAGTATCAGTTCTGGCACCAGTTCTTATTATTTTGACCTGAAACTTGTTTTACTAGTCCTACATATTATTCTAAGAATATTCATGCTCTTATTATAATTTTCCGGGATACTTCACCGACACGCATTTATATCGGGTAGCATAATCGGTATATGCACTTTTCGTCCGAAAAACGACTCTCAGCATTCTTAATCACTTTCTATATTTATTTAAGCCTTCTCATAATTATTAGGGTCAATTATGGAATTATTTCCTAATTCTCATATTTATATAATTAATTTCCTTAATTAACGGTGCAGGTTCTTACACATGGCGCGATGACACCATCGCGCATGAAATCGCCCATTAACATACCTTCAAAGATAAGGAAGCCAGTACAGAAACTAATAAGGTTCACCGCGCCCTTAAGCAAATAAACAGAAGACAGCACCAGCTTGCCACTACTCTATCAAAATAGCTTGGCGTTAAGAGATAAGGCTATTAAGGCACAGGCAGAACCTGCAGCCCTGAAACGACCAATCAGAGGTCATACCGCCTTCACAAGGCGGCATCACAACCACTATATAAACAGAGTGTACATGCCCAGGTATGATAATCTAATTCAGTAAGAATACACATACACCTGCAATTGATACTGACTTGAGCATCATAGTGTCATCGCAGGTACCCCCAGTCTGAATCACCGCGCCAAAGGAGAACCAGAGTCCTCACATCACCAACTACAACCTTTGGCCCAGAAAGTTGCTCATCCCAGAGGTTTCCTCCATCAACCGTGTGTGATTTGGCCATGTACATATTGATCAGCCCATACTGTATTTGGCCCGATCAATTGTCATGCACACCCTTGAGCTTACTAGATATAACTTTATCTTCAATATTCGGAGAAATACTTTTTCATTTATATATATATATATATATATATATATATATATATATATATATATATATATATATATATATATATGGCTTATCGTTTCTCAAGTTGCTGGAGATAACGTTATCTCCAGCCACTAAATTATAACCGTACAAAGATGGATCAATAGTGATAAAGGAAGAGAGAAAAAGGGAATCATAACCATTCAAAGGTGAATCAATTAATATAAGGAAATAAATAAACAAGATGGATCAGTAGTTTTGGGGTTGTCGGAGATAAATTTGTCTCAAGCTGCCGGAGAAATGTTTTTCCCATATATATATATATATGAAATGTTTTTCCTATATATATATATATATATATATATATATATGAGATAAGATATTGTAACAACCAAATAATTTTACTACCAATGTTACTACCACATCTTAATCGTCGTTGATTTCCGTCCATCAACGGTTATTTGATTGTGGTAGTAACGTTGATACTAATATCTATATATATATATATATATATATATATATATATATATATATATATATAACCACCCATTAAAGAAAAAAATAGCAGTATTCAAGCAAAAATTGGCAAAATTCATGGTGCCAAATAACATTTCTGGGCCCAAAATCCTTTTGTTCCTCCGAGTATTTGTTCTGTGGCTAGGATTCACTGTCTTTAAGATTCCGTGCCTATGGCCACTTCCATCCTCTCCCACCGAATTTCTGGGCCATTCCCCACGGCGTGCCTCAGTTCCCGGCCACCGAGGGCCACCATTAACATACGGCGGAACCCTCCACCTCATTTCAATCCATTGAGATGCAGAAAAGTGGCCCTCAAAGCCGAAACGAACAATCGCTTCAAGTGGGCTATTCAACTGAGCTTAGTGGAGCAGAGTCCACCAAAATCAACGTTCGACGTTCAACAACTCGTGGGCTTTCTCTACGACGATCTTCCACACCTCTTCGATGATCAGGGTATTGATATAACGGCCTACGATGAAAGTGTCTTCTTCCGAGACCCAATCACCAAGCATGATAATTTGAGTGGCTACCTTTTCAACATTGCTCTTCTCAAGACGCTCTTTAGCCCTCAGTTTCGGTTGCATTGGGTCAAACAGGTCTGGTTTTCTTTTGTACACTCTCTTTCATTGATTTTAATGAATCATTAGTTTTATTTTTATTTATCCATTAGTTTATTAATTACTCGACTTTACATGTGATTGAATGGAATCAATCCGTTGGGTTAGCCCGTTTAACCCACTACAAATGGTGGGTTAGATTGGAATTCCCAACCTGACAACCGGTTTGAATTCACCCCATATACTTGCGGATCAAAATAAATTCAACTTGCTAATGATAGGGTTAATCCGTCCGGTTAATTTTTTTATAATACATTAATCAATGATTTTTTTTTTATATTTTTTATATTTTTATTCGATATCTTTTATATTTATGAAGAGTATAATATTTAAAAAAAAATTATATTTTTAATATGTTGGGGTGACCAGATAAGTTGAGATTTTCAACCCATGGAACAGAGTGGATTGAGTCATTTTGAGATGGGTTGGGGCGGATATGTAGAGGTAGTCCTCCGAAATCTGACCTCTGATTAAAGCAACAAGTTATTTATCACTTGAATCAATGGTTGTTGGTGTTTAGTTTTTTTTTTTTTGCTCTATCTTGTTTGTTCAATTGGAGTGATGGAATTGCTATAGACAGGATCTTATGAGATAACTACAAGATGGACCATGGTTATGAAATTCGTGTTACTTCCCTGGAAACCGGAATTGGTCTTTACAGGAACATCTGTTATGGGCATTAACCCAGAAAATGGCAAGTTCTGTAGCCATGTGGTAGGTTCGAAGTTCCAACCGTAATTTTTAAATGGAGAGAGATATTACTGGTTTCATGTTGTTTTTTAACTTCTTATTCCTTAATTTCCCAGGACTTTTGGGACTCAATAGAGAAAAATGACTATTTTTCTTTCGAAGGTTTGTGGGATGTAATTGAACAGGTACCATTCTATTTCACTTTTGATGTATGCCTTAGACAATCATTCTCTCAAAGTCTTCTCAAATCAAATTCTATCTACGAGAATTTGACACTTTGCAGTTGAGGATTTATAAGACACCGGAATTGGAATCACCTAAATATCAAATCTTGAAAAGGACAGCAAATTACGAGGTATATCTTGTCATTCATCAACATATTGTTTTTGCATTGATATATTATTCTTTCATCCTCTTGTACAAATATGTTCCATAATGTAATAATATGCCATTTTCTCTAAAGGATTTGAATTAGTTCTTATATCAATAGGTAAAGTTCACCTTTTGTGACTACAACTTTGTTAACACTGCACATCAAAACAATAATACTAAAAGAGAAAGTTAATGATTTCATCAACCACCGTGAAACAATTTCAAATCGCAAAACATAGAGATTATTATTTTTCTGAGTACCGATTGAATTTTCACAATTATTATCTCATACATTCATTTTTTTAATGATATAACAGATTAGACAGTATAATCCATTCATAGTAGTAGAAACAAATGGAAACAAGCTATCTGGGTCTACTGGCTTTAATGATATTGCTGGGTAAGATTTTATATATCAAACTAAGTTGTCATTTATTCTAAGACTCTCAGTCCCAGATAATGCATACATGTTAATAATGCCCCCTGCACAGATATATATTTGGAAAGAATTCCACAACGGAGAAGATACCAATGACTACTCCTGTCTTCACTCAAGCCACTGATGCTGAATTGTCCAAAGTGTCAATCCAAATAGTTCTTCCAATAGACAAAGAAACAAGAAGGTATGTCTCCCAAAACTTGGGGTTTCAAAATTTGAAGAATTTTTGTTCTAAGAGATACATGTCTAAGGGGGTGTATTGGATTAGGATTTTAAAAGATTTTTTGAGATAAATTTTTTTATAGATTTTAAAAGACTGTTTACAATTGGAGGGACTTTAAAGACTTTTTTAAAAGACTTTTTTTACAATTAAGATTTTATAAGATTGAATTTTAAAGGATTTTAATAGAATTTATAAGATTTGAAAGGACAATATAGATTTATAAGATTTTAAAAGACCATATGAATTTTTAACAAACATTCAAAATTACAAGAGTCAATAAAAAATATAACAAAGAAATGCAATGATATTAATAAAAAAAATAAAACCTAATATAATTTTCTCAATCAGTAAAACATAATATAATTTTCTCAATCAGTAAAACATAATATAATTTTTAATAAACATTCAAAATTACTAAGCAACAGCTCTCCACATATTTAAAGTTATACTAGTCCTCCACGTATTAGTATTTTCTCGTTCATGCTCTTGGGTTTGACAATAGGTTGAAAATTATCTTCTTCATTTGGTATCAGAGCTATGCATATATGATTGTAAGACCCAATTTTTTTTTTTATTAAAATAATTCTAAATTTGCATTTATAACTTAAAGTTCATGATAAAATTTCGTTTGGAATTTTTTGCAAATGATCTTGGAAACCTTGGGATTTTTGTTCTCGTGATGAGAGTTTTCTAACCATATATCAAATGCATGTTTTCATTGAGTATTCTAAGAAAATTTCGAACCTGAATTTCTGGATTTTATTACATGAAAATTTTAAAAAAAAAATTCAAATTATTTTCACTCAATAAATCAAAAAATTTAAATTGATTTGGGGCTTTTGAAAAACAAGTTTTTAGTATCTATTGATACAAAAATTGTTTGAAATCGTTTCCTATAGCAAAAGAATTTCGTTCATGAATGTATTGTTACGAAATATAGGGTTCATATTATGGAAGTTTCAATCTTTCTTTAAATTGATATTGTTTCATTGATGTAAAACGAAAATTAGTTTGAGGGTTTTAGTTTCCCTGTTATTTTCAATACAAAAATCACACATTCTTGTTCCAAGAAAAATCGCGAATTATTGCTTGAAAAATCATTTTTTAAACTTCTAAAAGCTCTAAAAAATCGCTCAAAAAACTGCTATTTTCGATCTTTGATGAAGCTCCCATGGCGGAACCCGGTTTCGAGCGGATCAACCCACCAAAGGAAGAAGAAGACACTGCAATAGGAAAACCTCAAGAAATCCTAGGGGTTAGGGTGAGATTGTGAGATAGGCATCCTATTTATATTTCTCACTAAAAAGTCTCACGAAATCCACACCAATAGAAAATCCATTAAAATCGTTAGATTTTTGAATACCGTAAGATTGTTTTTTCTTTGTTTAAAATCCTGATTGAATACCAACGGATTTGGACGGACTCTAAAATAATCTTTCAAAATCTTAATCGAATACCACATGGCTTTTTTTCAATCCTTTAAAATCCTAATTGAATACCAATGGATTTTTTTTCCAAAAATAATCCATTAAAATCCTAATCCAATACACCCCCTTAGTAAAGAAATGCAGTTTTGTGGGAAAAAAAAAATACAGAAAAAGAAAGTGTCATATCTGTAGTGGAATTTAAAGTTCTGTGCTTACTATTTATCTTTTGACTAGTTTGCCAAATCCTAATCAAGAAACAGTCAGCTTGAGAAAGGTAGAGGGAGGCATTGCTGCAGTAGTAAAGTTTAGTGGGAAACCTGTAGAGGGTGTTGTTCGTAAAAAGGAGAAAACCCTGCGCTCCAATGTCATTAAAGATGGCCTTAAACCTCAGATTGGTTGTTTGCTTGCACGGTACAATGACCCAGGTCGAACATGGACCTTTATAATGGTATGCTACAAAACCTTCCTAAGTGTTCTCGATTGATTTATGATTTCTTATATGCATGGTGCTTTCTGTTAGAATAACAAACTCAGGAAATTTGGAATTATCAATTTCATTCTGAATGAATCATACGTACAATGAACAGTGGCCTTATATCAGCAACAACCAAAGAAAAATAACAGAATGGGAAAAACTAACTGAATTGAGCAAAAGGTGAGCCAGTGGCCTTATATCAGCAACAACCAAAGAAAAATAACAGAATGGGAAAAACTAACTGAATTGAGCAAAAGGTGAGCACATGGGCTCAAAACAGAAAATGCTATATACCTATACAGCTGTACAATAACTAACTTACTAAAATATGGAAAATAAAAATGTATATTCTAATACTCCCCCTCAAGATGGAGAGTGAATATTGTGCACTCCCATCTTGGAAAGCAAGGAAGAAAACTAAGCAGGATAAACAACCTTTGTGAGTATGTCAGCCAGTTGATTTGCAGAAGCAATGGGGAATGTTTGAAGATTGCCTTGAACTATTTGTTGCCTAACCAAGTGGCAATCAATTTCAATGTGCTTTGTTCTCTCATGAAAAACAAGATTTGCAGTTATGTGTAAAGTAGCAGAATTGTCACAAAACAAATGAGCAGTAGCAGAATGAGTGATATTAAAATCCTTCAGTAAAGAAAAAAACCAAATAAGTTCCCAAGTCACCGTAGCCATGGATCGGTATTCAGACTCAGCAGAAGATTTTGATACTGTTGCTTGTTTCTTGGATTTCCAACTGATGAGGGAGTGTCCCAAGAAAACACAGAAACCAGAAACACTTTTGTGTGTGTCAGGGCATGAAGCCCAATCCGAATAAGAGAAAGCATTCAATTGAATTTTGGAGGAGGAGGAAAATAACAAACCTTGACCAGCAGTTCCTTTTAGAAAAGCTAACACTATGTAAACAACATTGAGATGAGGTACTCTAGGAGCAGACATGAATTGACTAAGGTGATTCACAGCATAACAAATATCAGGCCTTGTGATGGTTAAATAGATTAAACGCCCAATAAGTCTTCTGTATTGTGTTGGGTCCGAGAGAGCATCACCTTCAGTAGAAGCAAGTTTAAGATTGGGTTCCATAAGTGTTCATTTTGGCTTGCAGCCAAGGTAACCAGCATCAGAGAGAATTTGCAAGGTATATTGGCGCTGACAGATGGAGATACCAGCAGTGGAACGAGCCACTTCAATGCCCAAAAAATATTTCAAAGCTCCCAAATTTTTTAACTTGAAATTGTTGTCTAGAGAATATGTGAGATGATGAATTTGATCAATATTGTTGGAAGCTACGAGGATGTCATCAACATACACCAAAACAACAAGAAAAGAACCTCCTGAATGCTTGATGAATAAAGAGTGATCGGTTTGAGAATGAGAAAAACCAAATGAGAGAACAGTTGAGGAGAGTTTAGCAAACCATTGACGAGAAGCTTGTTTTAAGCCGTATAAAGACTTATGAAGTTTACAGACATCATTAAGTGGTAAACTCTCCCCCTGTTTGGTATAACCAGGAGGCAAAGACATGTAAACCTCCCCAGAAAGTTCTCCATGTAAAAATGCATTATTGACATCTAATTGAATTAGATGCCAATTGTGAATGGCTGCAAGGGCAAGGAGAAGTCGAACAGTAGTGATTTTGGCAACTGGAGAAAAGGTCTCCATAAAATCCAAATCTTCTTGTTGAGTGAACCCTTTGGCAACCAAACAGGCTTTATAACGCTCAAGGGAGCCATCTGCATTGTACTTAACACGATAAACTCACTTACATCCAACTGGTTGTTTACCGTCAGGAAGTGAAACAATAGACCAAGTCTGATTTCTCTCAAGGGCAGAAATTTCAGCAACCATTGCAGCAGACCATTCAGGTAATTGAGAGGCTTTAGCATAAGAGGAAGGTTCAAAATGAGATGAGAGGGCATTAATAAAGGCACGGTAAGAAGTGGAAAGGTTGCTGTAAGATAAATTGGCTGAGATAGGATGAGCAGTAGAGGTGGAGCAAATATAATCAGAGATGGGGAGGGGGTTGCTTTGTACGAGAGGGTCTGGTTGAATTATGATCAGGACCTTCAGCAGCAAGGGCTGGAGGGGATAGCAGAGGCAATGAATTTAAAGGGGAAGAAAATGGAGTGGATGAGACAAAAGGAAAAATTGACTCATGAAATATAACATCCCTAGAAATAACAACGCGATTAGTGTGTAAGTCAAGGAGTTTGTATGCTTTATAACCAGGAGGATATTCCAGAAAGACAGCGGGTGAGGAACGAGGTGAAAATTTGTGCCTATTATGAGATAAAGTTGAATAGAAACACAAGCAACCAAAGACACGAAGATGGGAATAAGATGGAATTTTATGACACAGAAGCTCAAAGGGAATTTTGTGATGGAGAAGTGGAGAAGGAATGCGATTAATTAAGTAAACCGCAGTGAGAACACAGTCTGACCAGTATGCTAGTGGGATGTGGGATTGAAAATGCAGGGCACGGGAAACATTGAGAATATGTTGGTGCTTACGCTCAACAACATAATTTTGTTGAGGGCGTTCAACACAAGAACGGAACAGTTGAATTCCTTTAGAAGAAATAAAATCAGAAAGGTTGAATTCAGGTGCATTATCACATCTAGTTGATTTGATGGAAGAGGAATATTGATTAAGTATCAAATTGTACAATGAAGGAAAAACAACAGAAAACTCAGATTTATTTTGTAAAAAATATACCCAGGTGAATCGTGTGACATCATCAACAAGAGTTAAAAAGTATTTTGCACCAGAAACAGAAACGGGGTTGAAAGGCCCCCAAATATCACAATGAATCAAAGTAAAAGCAGTGGAAGACATTTTTGGGTCCAAAATAAATGGTAATTTTTTTTTTAGCAATAGGGCAAACAGAACAAGGTAATGCAAGAGCAGAATCCGTAAAATTTAAAATTCTTTTCATTGAAATTAATAGGGAGGGGGATGGAAGGCCCAAACGAGAGTGCCAAAGTACAAAAGAAGGAAGAGTGGTTGCAGAACAAAGGGGATGGGGAACATTAAAAATGGGAAAAAATTCAATGTATCAAAAAGATAAAGGTCACCCTTGCGCCTAGCAATCCCAATCGTTTTGCGAGTTGTAGCTTCCTGGAGTAGGCAAAAAGAACCAGAAAAAAATGCAATTATATTAGAATCACGTGTAAGGGCACTGACAGATATGAGATTCATATGAAAAGAGGGAACTAACAAAACTTGATGTAAAATGAAGGATGGTGAAAAAAAGACAGTGCCAACAGAAGAAATAGGAATGTGAGAACCATTAGGGAGGGAAACGAATGCAGAAGAAGAAGATAGGGAAGAATTGTAAAGGAAAGACGGAAGGTAAGTGACATGGTGTGTGGCACCAGTGTCAAGCACCCAATAAGAAGAGGGAAAGGAGGTTGGAGTCTTACCACTGAAGCTCGTGATCATAGGACTAAAAGCGGTGGAAGAGGTGTTGTCGGTGGAGGCAGGGAAATTGTTGAGAAGGGAAAGGAGCTGAGCGTATTGGGTAGGAGAGAGAGGATCAGGTTGAGTAGGGGAATTGGGTTGAGAGGTGGCCATATGGACATGGGCCTGAGGGAAATTTAGGCCAGAGGGGGTCTTGGGTGGTTGGTTGGGGTTTGTGCTGCGAGGCTTGTAGCCTGGAGGAAACCCGTGGAGCTTGAAGCACTTGTCACAGGTGTGTTCCAGTTGCTGACAATGAGAGCAGTAAGGGTGTAACCGGCGCTGATTGTTACGACGACAACCATAGGAGGAGAAGCACCAGGAACTGCATTAGCCAAAGGAGTGTCAGACGAAGGATGAAATGAAGTTGATATTTGCCGTTGAAGTTCCTCCTGTAGAATTAATGAGAAAACGCGAGATAGGGGAGGCAAAGGCTCCATGAGCAAAATTTGGGCACAGATTGAAGAAAAGGAGTCGTTCAATCCCATCAAGAACTACATAGCATAGTCTTGCTGTTGAGAAGCAGAGAAAGCCCTAAGACCACCATAAGTGCAGGAGAAGTTGGGAGAGTAATCTTGAAGCTCATCCCAAAGAATTTTCAGCTTCGTATAATAGGTGTTGACATCGAAAGCCCCTTGATGCAATGAAGATATTTGTTGTTTCAGTTGAAAGATTCTCGGACCATTGGCTTGATGAAATCGAATACGAAGATCATACCAAAGTTCATAAGCAGTGGGGAAGTACATGAGACTATCGGCAATTTCCTTGGATACAGAGTTAAGAAGCCAAGAGATAATCATGGAGTTACATCGGTTCTATGCAGCAAACAAGAGATCAGATGATTGAGGACGAACGAGACTGCCGTCAATGAAACACGCCTTGTTTTTGGCGGTGAGAGCGATGAGCATGGCCCTACTCCAAGAATTAAAATTATGACCAGTGAGGGAATGTGTAACAAGAATGAGACCAGGGTGATCACCATTCTGTAGATAAAAGGGGCTACTGGAGTCCTCCATCGGAGAAGAGAATGAACTAGTGTTAGAGGTAGAGGAGGTGGAGGTAGCAGGGTTGGTACTCTTGCCACCGCGAGCCATGAAGAAAAAGGGTGAGGTCAGAGAAAGTCATCTGATACCATGTTAGAATAACAAACTCAGGAAATTTGGAATTATCAATTTCATTCTGAATGAATCATACATACAATGAACAGTGGCCTTATATCAGCAACAACCAAAGAAAAATAACAGAATGGGAAAAACTAACTGAATGGAGCAAAAGGTGAGCGAGCACATGGGCTCAAAACAGAAAATGCTATATACCTATACAGCTGTACAATAACTAACTCACTAAAATATGGAAAATAAAAATGTATATTCTAATACTTTCTCTACCATAATTATTTTCCCATTTTAAATTCCTGATGTACGCTTTGGATAAGTTATTGGTTCGTAGAGATTAAATTCCTTCGTACGGAACTGTTCTTTGTTCTCCAACAGATTCCTGAAGA